CTTGAATATGCATCTGAGCCACATGAGCTTGTGCTCAGATGAGGGAGAATGAAATCATACAATCCTCCTGTTGAGAGGAGGGAAAAAATGTGAAGGGATTTAAATGTGATATCAAATGGAACTGAGAGTACTGGGCTTATAAATATTAAAATGTATCTTAATGCAAAAATATTAAAATGTGTCATTTATTTACACACCATTTGTTCAAAACCCTTTGCAATTATAATTAGGAAAAACAAATGAGTGCAACTTGCAAGTGGTGAGGAATTTGTAGAACTTTATTAATGGAAAAAGTTCAGTTTATTCAGTTTAGTTTTCGTCTTTGAGTGCATATTCTGCACAGGTCTAGTGAAAATGTCTTCAGCTAAGAACAAAGTAGGTGAAAGGCACAGACGGAAAGAGAGAGGCGTGAATATTCCCCAAGTTGTTTTGTTCTGACAACTCAAAGTATCCCACTTGCATTAATGAGGGCCTACAATCCAAAACCAGCACAATTGCACAATAAGCAGTGAGGAGGGTCACTCAGGAGCACTCACTGTTTCCACAAAGACCTCCACGTTCCTTTGATGACTCACAGTGTCCAAGTGGCCCACTGAGAGAAGTGACTCTTTCATACTCATCTGAGAGTAGGCCTGTGGAGTCAGGTCCTTGGGGAAATGGGTGACTTTTTTTTTTTTTTTTGCACCAGTAGTCTATTATCCAAGACGTTAGAGAGAAAAAAAAGAAAAAAAAAACAGACATTTCAAGGCAATGCTTCCACTGGTCAGGAATAGTAGTAACTGTGTGCAGGTCTGCATGCAAATTTCTGCAGCATGACTGAGGCGGGTAGGTAGACCTCACTGACAGGACTGCTAATCCAGAAAAGAGCCATTGATTGAACACGTCCCTAAATGCTGTGCTCCTCCTGGAAAGTGCGGCCATTTTAAGTCTCATCAGGACAGGGAAGAGCAGGTATACATTATAATTGCAGGAGACCTAAGGTGGACTTAAGCTTTAGCGGTTTAATGGCTTAGCTCCACCGGATACGAGAATGTGTGGTTAAACACTTAATGGTGCAGAAAACATTTTGCCATTGAACATAACAAGATATCGATTAGGTGTATAATGCATAAACACAATGCACATCTAATTGACGCTCTGAATAATTTCAGGCCCACCTCCTTTGTTCATGTCATCTCTATTAAGTATGTAAATGAGGATGAGTCATATCTATCAAGCAAGGTACCTTTGAGATTTATCGAAGTGCTGTAAATTTCAAGGGGTATACAATATAGACACAACTGCTCTCTAAACAAAGAAAAAATAATAATTTGTTCAACACTGAAACATATATTCCAACATCAATACAATCATTTTGACAATAGCACAGCTTGTTTTTAAAAGTGCACTTATTTTTTAAATTATATTTAAAAGATTGAGGAGCTTTGTTTTTGAATCCCATTATGACTTTCAAGTTATTCTAAACCGTTGTCCCTTTTTTTTGGTAATAATTGTGTTGCTATTTATTAAAAAAAAAAGAATTTGGTACACAAAATAAGGGTGAAATAAAATAAACGTAATCTTAGATGATAAAAAAGGGACCACATCTGGTCTATGATCACTCTAGCCAAAAGTGCTTCAGAGTCATTTTCAGGAATGGTTTGAATTCTCACATTTCCTCATTGCTGTGTCAAGTCATTACTGGGCAGCAAGTCATTAGCTGATGGTGCACCCATTTATTACAGCTAAAGAGCAATGGGCAAGGTGGAGGAGAGACAGATCAGGCTTTGGGATGACCACGGTTGTAGGCTTTTTCCTTCCACCTAGAGCTCAACACATCCATTTCTCTGTCAAAATTTTTGCTGAGCATTTAGGGTGCAAAATAGGTAATAGTTCCCTTTCATGGGAACTTCGAACTGCGTCCTCTAGGGGTCGCTATGGGGACGCCTCGTCGTGACCCGTGTCTGAAGCATACATTGAAAAAACACCAACTTGTTGGCCGGCGACAGCCATGACGTCACTACCGGTGCGACTATAGTATAAACAGGCGCCGGGAGCACACATCATTCTCTTCTTCGTCTTCATTGACTGTTTTGTTTGAAGCGTGCATTTCTGTGGTAAGAGCGATCTCTATTTATCTCATTATGGCGAGCACTAGCAAGCCAACAAGTTGGTGTTTTTTCAATGTATGCTTCAGACACGGGTCACGACGAGGCGTCCCCATAGCGACCCCTAGAGGACGCAGTGTCTCGTTCCCTACTCAGGGAACCATGGTTACATAAGTAACCTGAGACGATTTGAAGCGCCATACATTGAAACAGCAGAGAAATGCTGTAATTTCATATAATCACCTGGAGAATAGAAAGCAAATGTACATTTTGCTGTGGATTTTTTATTTTCTTTGATATATAATGGGGTGCAATTGGATGTGCTCAAAATAGTTGCCGTCCTGTCAGCTTCTCTAAGATCTGTTGGTTTTACCCCAAAAGCAGACTGAGGCTGGCCCAATACCCCTGTGTTTCTCTCAAGTCTATGCTGAGCAAAGAGAGAGAGAGAGAGAGAGAGAGAGAGAGAGAGAGAAAGCTTAGTGGGCTTTTTTCCTGAAGGCGTAGGAGTTTTAGTCTTGAGTTAAGGTAATCCAAGCAGACGCTGTTCACTTGCCCTTGTTTGCAGACTCCTGTGCCAATTAGCGGACTAAGGAGACTATGTGTGACATATTTTCAACATGAGATTAATTCATATTTCACAGCATGCTACACAAAGGAAAAGGCTGATCTTAAAATTATGGGAGCCATCAGAAAGCAGGCAAACCAACAGATGCATGCTAGCTTCATGTACAGGATCGTCACAGCTCATTGTCCTTGAAAATTAATCGGAATGAAATGACAAGCCTGGGGACTGCAATCCACGGTGCACTGCAACAAGGCTCCTGAGCAGAATATTTATGTAAGCTTGGCTAAGTGGCAACAGATGATATCTGTATTCCAACTGGATGGCGAGACTTGAAATGGCTGTGATAAACAAGCCTGGGCAGGCGGCATTATGCAAAGTAAATGTAGCGATTCGGGTTTAGGACTAGGCCAATGAGGGCGTGTGAGGGTGGGGCTGGGGCGTAAGGGGGAGGAGAGGGGAGTCGCCATGCCGTGGATTATATCTGAGTTTATGTGTCTCACCAGCTAACCGCTGTGACATATGGCGCGCAATGCCATTACCACGCTCGCTGTGCACAAGCTCATTTTTCAACAACCTAACAGCCTGAAAAGGCAATACTTACACTACAATGCCATTTTGAACTCACTCTGATGGTCCGATTGGAGTCTGGCAAAAAACACATTAATCTCGCTCAGAGACCATATCAGTATTGGTTTAGGATAGCTCATCGGCTAGCAAGAGTAACTAGCCACTGGAACTCACAAAGTGGCATGATGTTATTTATCAAGTCTCAAAAAAAACAATCAATAATACAAATCTTGTATTATTATTTTCTTACCAGGTTTCTTACCAGAACATATTACCCCAATTTTACAGTCTCTGCACTGGCTACCTATTAAGTTCCGTATCAGTTACAAAATAGTATTACTTACCTACAAGGCCCTTAATGGTTTAGCTCCTGCGTACCTACCTAGCCGTCTACCACGCTACAATCCATCACGCTCCCTAAGGTCGCAAAACTCTGGACTCTTGGTAGTACCTAGGGTAGCAAAGTCCACTAGAGGAGGTAGAGCTTTTACGCATTTGGCTCCCAAACTCTGGAATAGCCTTCCTGATAACGTTCGGGGTTCAGACACACTCTCTCTGTTTAAATCTAAATTAAAGACACATCTCTTTGGCCAAGCATCCAAATAATGCACATCATAATCTTGTACTGCAGTTATATCTGATCAAATGCACATTATTATTCTTTAGCTTGGGTTAAACAAATCAATTTTGCTTGGTTGGAACAGCAGCTACGCTAATTATGTCCCTATTTGTTTCTCTGTTTTTGCCACAGGATTGACATCCCGTGGTAACTAGGATTTACACAAGCTTCAGTCTGGATCCAGAACACCTGAGAAGAGATGATGCCAACCCCTCAGAGGACCTCAGATGATGCCAACCCTGAAACAACATACAAACAACTACCACATTTTCCTACAAGTTTAATTGCATCATAAAATAATTGCTGTTAATAGTGTTCATCGTCTGTTTGATTACGTCTTTAATTGATTTTTTCGATTTGATTTTCGTTAATTGATTTTTCTGCCATATGTACATTAACTGACAGCCACCACTGATAAGCTACCACTAAATATTGTAGAAACTTAATTTGCTGTAAAGCTGTGAAAAGCGCTATACAAATAAACTTGAATTTAATTTAATTGAAATCTAGATTTAAGAAAGCTGAATGTTGTTGATGCCAACCAGAGGTGGACATTTGCTTAAAATTCTATACTAGCCATACATATATTGTATATAGATATATTTCAATTAAGTATTTGAATATTTAATTCAATATTTAAACACAACTAAAAAGCTTTAATATATAATATGATATACTACACTTTCTATTGAGTAAGCGTCCTTTTGGGTGCTGCCCACCCATAGCCATGTGCTCTGCCTATAATAACAGATAAAAATAATAATAATTAATTAAAAAAAATTTTTTATCCTCGTCTATGCAAGACTTTCAACACATCAAACCACAGGGAATTGACACACTGCTTAAGTCATTAGAAGGATATTAATCTGCAATAATAAGCAAACCATGTACTACAAACAGTAGACGTTGGTTGGTAGATGGCGTGTTCCAAATCATTTAGAAAGCGAGGGAGTTGTGTGCTTCATTTAAACTATAGTTTAAGCCCAGCCTCTCTTAAATATCAAATTGTCTCCGAAAAGAGAGAGGGAGCGAGAAGGAAAGAAAGAAAAAGAGAGAGAGCATTGAAGGAAAAAAAGGGTGACCAGAAGAGCAGTAGGAGGAGGTGGAGGGTGGGAGGGAGAGAGAGCGAGCGAGCGAGCGAGCGAGCGACATCTCTCTCCTCCCTATACACCTCGCCTGCCTTCAGCCTCAGCATCTACAGCCTCCGCAGCCCACAGGAAATGAGCTTAATACAAAGAAGACATCGCTGAAGATTTGAGTCTTACTAGACGCACTATCATCAATGATCTTTGGATATCACTGCTATACAAAGAATTAAAAAAGACAGGAAAAAGAAAAAAGAGAGCTGTATGATGCTGATCACACAGCTTTTGCATGTGTATAATTGTGAAGAAACGGAATGAGCACTGACAGAATGCCAACGAGCTTCACTCAATGTACATTGTGCAGGTCAGTGATCACTTTAGGTTATGGATGGTGATTTGCGACGACAGATCGGGAGTCTTTGACGAGAAGGGAGGAAAAGAGGGAGAGTGAGAGTTTGGAGTGGATTATTCCCTCCTTCATGCGCGTTTTCCCCCGCTCGTCTCTCCCACAGATCAGAGCAGCAGTCAATGCAGAGGAAAGGCAGAGAGAGGACAACGCTCATGCATGCAGCCCGGGAAACTTGCACTTCCTACCAGCCTGCTGAATGCCACTTGGATTCATTCTCGTTTTGGCTCTTTCACACGAGGAGAACTAAGACATTGTAAGTCTGCCAGGATCTGGTGTCCGATGAAAAGGAGGGGGGGCTGAATTTGTACCACACTGGGGTCTTTTTTAGTTTCGCACATAATTAGTGTCGGCACAAAGGGATCAACTGAATAGAGGTTGTCAGCCTCTGGAAAGGGGTGAGTAGGCATCCTTTCATGTGAGATTGATTCACGAGGAGCGCAATTTTTTTGTACCTTCGTCTCTCTTTTTTTTTCTCTGATCTAGCATGAGCAAAGTGACTTGTCGTTTATTTGCCGTCGCTCTTCTCATTTCGACGTGGTAGGATATCTTGATTCTTTAAGTAACAAATCACCATCCATATTCTCTAGAAATACACATCAGCTGAAAAGACTTGGGGAGTTAAAAATCACAAAATCCAAAATGACCAAGATCTGAAAGATTCAATGGACTTTTTCTCTACGACACTGCAGGATATTCATGCTAATGGATTTCCTCCTAATTGGTCTGTACCTAAAGTGGCCACTAAGGAAGCCCCCTGGGCTAATACTCTGCTCCCTGGGCATTGTTCTGAAAATAGTTCCATTGGTGGGGGGGAACTGTCCGAGGCCGTGCCGATGCGACAACAAGCTGTTGTATTGTGAAGGGCTCAACCTGACTGACATCCCCCAAAACCTGAGCAGCGCCATTGGTTTGTCCCTGCGCGAGAATAACATCTCTGAGTTGCGGGAGGGGAACTTTGTGGGTCTGTCGCAGCTTACCTGGCTCTATTTGGACCATAACAACATCGAGATTGTGGAGGAGAACGCCTTTGAGAGGCTGCGAAGGGTTAAAGAGTTGGATCTGAGCACCAACCGGATAGAGAGCCTGCCCAACGGCACCTTCAGACCTCTGCCCAACCTACGAATACTGGATTTATCCTATAACAGACTTCAATCCTTGGAGCCAGACCTTTTCCATGGCCTTAGGAAGCTTACCAATTTACATTTGCGCTACAATGCCCTTAAATTCATCCCTGTGCGGATTTTCCAGGATTGCAGGAGCATGCAATTCCTGGATCTGGGTTACAACCAGCTGCAGAGCCTGGCACGTAATTCATTTGCCGGACTCTTCAAGCTCACTGAGCTGCATCTGGAGCACAACGAGTTGGTGAAAGTCAATCTGGCCCATTTCCCCCGCCTCATATCCCTGCGGACCCTCTACATGCGAAACAATAAGGCCACCATTGTGGTCAGCACCCTTGACTGGACCTGGGACCATTTGGAGAAGATTGACTTCTCCAACAATGAGATTGAGTACATTGAGCCACACGTGTTCGAGAGTGTGCCCAACCTTAACACTCTTATGCTGGACTCTAATAAACTGACTTACATAGATCAGCGGATTTTGGACTCATGGAATTCCCTGACCAGCATCACTCTGTCGGGTAATGACTGGGAATGCAGCAGGAATGTCTGTGCCTTGGCTTCCTGGCTCAGCAACTTCCAGGGACAACGTGACAGTGGCCTGCTGTGCGCCAGCCCAGACATCGCACAGGGTGAGGACATTCTGGATGCCATCTACGCTTTCCAGTTATGCGAGGACAACGTGGAAGCAACAACGCAGATCTTTACCGCTACCAGAAACCGTGCCAGAGGCTTCATATTCGATGGCCCGACGAGAAACCCCTATGAACTGCAGGATGTGGAGGGCGGGGAAGTGGTGACCAACTCCTTAACGGTGACTGCGTCTGCTGATGACCTGGAGAGTACCATGCAGATTCACAAGGTGGTGACAGGCACCATGGCCCTAATTTTCTCCTTCCTGATCATGGTCCTCATGCTCTATGTGTCATGGAAATGTTTCCCAGCAGGCATCAGGCAGTTGAGGCAGTGCTTCACCAGCCAACGTCGCAAGCAGAAGCAGAAGCAGACCATGCAGCAGATGGCTACTACGTCTGCATCTGAGTACTACGTTGACTACAAACCCAACCATATTGAGGGGGCACTTGTCATCATCAACGAGTACGGCTCTTGCACATGCCAGCAGCAGGCATCTCGAGAGTGCGAGGTGTGATATGCCACCCATGCCATTTTAAAAGTCAGTGGTTTCAAAGTATAAATGGATACGGAACACACGTTAACTTGGCACCTCATTTTGCTGCTCTCAGGAGGAAGTTAACATTTCTCGAGTGCAAATGGACTAAAAACAGGGATTTAGTGCTGGTTTCAACAGCCTCCAAGCCTTGTGGGAGAATCTGACTCTGACACCTGTGTACTTGATGCAAAAGATGTGGAATAATTATGTTGACCTGTCCTGGCTTCTCTTATGAAGAGTGGATATTTGAGCTTTAATGTGTCTTTCTACTTCAGGATATTCTAGGACTTTCTAAAGCTATCAAGGACATCCAGAACACAATTTTTACTGTGGTAACAAACAGACAAAATTGGAGAGGAAAACAACAAAACAAAGAAACCCTTAAAAAAAGATTCTATGTAAAATATGTTAACAGCAGAAATGCAAGAGTGGGGATAAAATGCAAGATGTTATCCTATTTCTTTTGTAATCTATGGAGAAAAAAAAGAGGAAAATACAAATGTTTAAATAAATGAATTGCAATTCACAGTACTCATTATTGCAGGTGAGTTGGAGGGTTGCTTTTTTGTCTGTGATCGCGGGGAAAGATGTTCAGAGAGCTCTGCAGTATTGCAGGATGTAAATAAGCAGGGCTGCTGGGAGCGCTTCACTTCATTTGAAATGCTAAGCCTCAGTCTAAGATTCAGATCTCCTTGTCTCTCCCTGAGATATAATCACTGTGCAAAGCTTGATTGCTATGGCTGTGTGCAGTTGCCCCCCTTGTACCTATCCTGAATAGATTAAGCAAACTAGCAAAAAACAAAACAGGCTGACGCGGTTTGATCGGATCTCACATGATAAAGTCAAACATTTGTGTGCTGTGCAAATAAACAAGACAAGGAGTGTCTAAGACCTTAATTCCCTTCACTGCTTCGACACACTTCACACATAAAAAAGAGCCTCAACCAAGGGGTAAAAATCAGAGCGAGAGGAGGCCTTAAACATTTAAATCTTAATGTACGTGAAATGGGCGTGATTAATTATCCATTATGTTTGGTTTTATTTAGTTTTGTTTCTCCCACGAAAAAGGCTAGCCAAATTCTAGATGTATATTTAATTGTGGCTTTCTGTTTAAATGTGACGTTACTTTAAAAGATGTCCTGTGGTAAGCTGTTGTTATTGCGTGAGTGATCATCCTGACAGATTGTTAGATCGTGTGCAGACTGCATCAGTGGCTATTGCGCTGGTGAAAGCACAGGGCCTCTGAGAGAAGGTACAGGCTGCTCCCTAGTGTTCATACCAGCAGCAGAGGAAGACGAGATACCGCAGCAGCAACAAGCCCTTGAATTTCTCTTGCCCAGGCTTTGTGTGTGTTCGTATGTGTACGCCTGTTGCTTATCTATATGCAGTCTCTAAGCTCAGCTCAGGATTACTACCACAGCGTAAAGTATCTGGACTAAACAACAAAAGCAGGCTGATTATAAAAAGGGAGATTTCACTTTACATCTACTATGTTGTCACCTCACTCACTTGGCTGTTATAAAGATGGATTTGTTTAGTACGCATAGGGGACATGCCACTGTGAAGATGGTAGATGGTAGATGTGTGTGTGTGTGTGTGTGTGTGTGTGTATGTGTATGCATTTGAATTTTAACTATTTAAGTGGGTGTTTTTTTATTTTATTTTTTTGTGTCATCTCCTAAAAAGGTGGAATTGAGTTTGTTCTGACCAGCTGCATGTGTGAAGTATTAATTTGTCATGTATGACTGGGATATGCCTTAAAGGGACAATGTAAGGCTGAGCGAATATTTTTTACAATCAAATCAAACAGTTTTATTATGAATTCCAAAGTCCCGCCCCCTTTAAATCCTTTAATACTTGATATGAAACTGTTCTATTTTCAGCACTGTATTTGATGCGTATATGAAGCTAAGCAAAGCTAAACCAATAAAATGTATTCCTACTGTTGTAAATGATACGCAATGTGACACACTTTGCCCTTTTCTGATTAATCTAGTCATGCTGTATTTTTTCTTTCTTTATTTATTTTATTTGCTGTTTATGCTTGTTTTCTGTCAGGTGAAGATGTTAATGCATTATTCAGAACATCTGGTCTGACACTCCTTGGACTACAATCTTTTCTATCCCCTTTTCATTTCATGAATGATACTGTTCATGACATATTTTGAAGCAAAGCCCTAAATATGTTCCAATGTGTGGTTGGGATTTTAATGAATCCTCTGGAGAGCATAAAAAAAAACACCTCTATTTGACTGAGTGGCAGATTCCTAGCATCAACACAATGATGACAGCATTGTTCCCTGCACAGCCGGAAAAAATAAATTGTAGCTATTCACGATCCCCCTTCTCAAAACAGGTGGTTGGATTGAGGAAAACAAAAACAAATCTTTCACTAACAATAGCTGTTAACCGTACCAGCGACGAGGCAACCGGCAACAGGGGAAACAATGGAGCCGTAGAGCGAGTTGTTTGATTACATTCACCCTTCTCTTTTCCAACTCTGAACGAATTTGAGCCATCCTCCAATCAAAGCGCTTCTGCAGCCTATTTTTAGCCCTTCTAGCTTATTTTGAATCAATATTGCATGTTTGTCATTTCATCACGGCACTTCTGGGAGTTGTTTTGAATTCCCTTTTTCCTTAATTATTATTATTTTCTATTTTTCTTCACAAGGAGCAAATTAATATTTGAAGTGGCGGGAGGTTTTGTTTGATCTGAAGCTCTCTCCTCCTCATGCTGCGTACAAACCCCTCTGCCCTCAAACTCTAACTAGAGTTACTGCTCTGACAGTTAACTCTAATAATTAATACTGTTATTGATGAGGCTCGAGGTAGATTGATACAGATAGTTTTTAGCCAATTACAGACTTTCTTGCTTGTTACTTTTTCCAGACGAAAATAAATAAATAAATAAATAATCTTGTGTTAGTGTTGACAGAGAGAAAAATAGGGGATGGTGGGGGTGGGGGAATATGGTTTATTTATACAACAATATTTTATTGATATTTTGGCTAATTAGTGTGGGGAACGCATGGCTATATGCCCAGTACTATTAGAGAGGGGGAGAGAGAGAGAGAAAGACAGCAATGGTCGATCACTAACACATGAATTCAAGCAGGGGCGAGCCCTTGGATCTGTGCGGAAGCAGTTGTGCCAAGTGGTAGGGGGCAAGACATTAGCGTTTGACCTTGTTAGTCTGAGCGCCCATTTGTGTGTATGTGTGTGCACGCAACATGCAAGTAGTAGCTGAATATGAAGATCTCAAGTGAGTACTACAGGGTTGTACAGCACTGAGTTGAGGAGGGTCAACACTGGTAAACAAAGCAAGATGAGAAGACGCTGCAAATAGCTACAGAACTAAAAACTAATTCTCAATCTATGCAAATCATCGGATTAATTTCAAACAGTCTGACTGCAAATCAAACAGTTTGTCTTCAACGTTACAAGACTAAAAATTATCCCTATTTGACTATATAACTTCAGAAGAGACCAACATCACGAACTATGCTTATATGAGTGTTATTTTTGTACAAGTGACATACTATTATAGTTTTTATAAAGATTTTGAATAATTTTGCATTTTTATAGTTTCTCTTCAATTTTAATTTTACAGTTTTAGTCATTTTGTTGTTTGCATTTGTCTTTGTTCTACATTATTATTATTTTTTATAATTTTTTATTTTAGTTTTAGCTATTTAAGAACAAGAAGTTACATCAAATAAATAGCTAAAATAAAATAACTTTTTTTTAAAGTTCCAAAGTCTCCAATAAAAAAAACAGCTATTTCAAAACAAATTATTTCTCAACAAAATACTCAGAGAACAAATGATCTAAATTAAGCGATCCACATGAATTTGATATCTCTATATTCTGTCTGTATATCAACAACTGTTTCATTTGTGTCAATTTTCATTTCTTCTATTGAATTTCAGGAGAAACATCTAAGAAACAAAGAATCATACACTTAAAATAAATCACCAGAAAACTCAATTTTGCCTAGCATCTACGCAATTTCCCTTGCTGTGTAAAAACCCTAGGACATCTGAGTTCTAAGTATCAATATCAAGCAAACGTCTCTAGGTTACGTATGTAACAATGGTTTCCCGAGGGAACGAGACGCTGCGTCGAGATCGCTTTGGGAACGCCCTTGCGTGACCGCGTTCTGAAGCACGTGTCAAATCCGTCCAATGGCGCAGCGAAACATCACGAGCAGGATGACGTAAGCACCAGAAAGCATAAAAGCGCATCCGGCCGGGCGCAAACCAGCTTCGATGAAGTAGCGCCTGCAGGGATGCAGGGAGTATGGCAAAGAGACGCAGCGTCTCGTTCCCTCGGGGGAATCAGCTGCCTAACAACCCAGACCACATTTCCTAGTTTCCTCGAATATCACACAAACAGATTGCATTTCATAAGAAATAAGGAATGGCTTGCGTAAATTCGTAGAAGGTTGGTGATATGGGAAAACTAGATTAAGTGTCATGGTACCAGCATACATAAAATCCAGATATTTCATCAGAGTCTCTTGATAGAGCACCAGATGCTTAACAAATTAATTAACCTTGCTTGCTGTCTCTCAGTGTTGATTGAATGCCCCTGTGTGCCATTCCCTGCCTCTGGTCTCGCATAATAAAACACCCACACATAAACAGATACCCTGCCAAAACATAGGAATGACCGGGACTCTAGAAGACAGCATTAAGAATCTACAGTACACAATAATTGACTGTTGCTTCCCGCGGCAGATCATAAATGTATTCAAGTCGATATCATCCTTACTATTTGCAATATGAAGTTATAGTAAAGAACTTGCTTTTATTAGAATGTGAGTAAACTGAACAAGACGGCTTTATCATTCTCCAACTCATCATTATAATTATCAACATCATCATCATCATTCTTATATGCGCATCTGCATCACTGGCGTCACATTAAGTATCGCCGCACACTGAAGAAAATGATACTTTGGACCAACCTAAAAAAATTACTGTAATTTGTTACAGCTAAATTTATTAGTTTTTCTCAAACTATATTTTTGATTTGGTTGAAACTTTAAATTTTAATTTAATATCAATCAAAATAGTTCTTCTGCCCAAGATAAAAAATTTACATTGAAACAAATCTAAAAGCGATTTCCTTGGGCCACGGACCGTCTTCACACTCCAAGCGATAATGGCGGATGGCGAAACGCTGGCTGGCGCGAACAAGGAATTAGTTGATGTGACGTCATGTGGTCACATGATATGAAAACATCTGGTTTAAAGTAAAAATACTACTCAAGTCAAATTGTTGCTTTTAATTTGATCTAGGGGGTTCGTTATTTGCTTTAAGGCAAACTGAACAAAACAGGTTTAAACCAGAAACCATGATTTTCACTTAGTCCAATGTAAAAATGCACTTTAAATGAACAACACAGTAGTTTCACTTTTTTCAGTGCAGGGGCATTGTGACATTTTCAAAATGTAACTAAATCATTCAAATAGCCATATATAATAAATGTATATGTGTCAGATAAGGCTAATTAGCATGGATTTAAATGCTCATTTAAACGGATACATACACCCACGTCTTTATTAACAGACGAAGAGACACTAAAGTGAGTGGGAAGAGGGCATACATCAGCACTTTATGAAACAACACATAATGGCATAAAAAAAGGCTGCTGCTGTTGCAATTTAAGTCATACCTAATGTAAACAGCTTGGGCATTACATTAATTAATAATATGGCATTAAGGCACCACACAAAGTCAGATAGCAAATGGATGAACGGTAATGGGCTAACGTTCAGCAACATCTGCTCTCGCATTTGTGGCGCTGAACTGAGCACACAGTCGTAGGGTGGAAACAATGCCGATTGTTATTTTCTGCAAGTTAGCGGAATATCTCATGGGTCGCACCCAGTGCACAGCTCGCTGTTCTCCATTTATGCAGAATATCTGAAATGTGAGAAAACAG